GGGTTTAGGGGTTTAGGGCTTGGTGCTTTTTGACCCGTAAGGTAGTGTTTTGCTAAGCGAGTTGATGGCCGCAGGGTTTTGCCTCAAGGACTTGAAATGCCTTGCGCATCAGCTTTTAGATCGCTTCGTGAGGTTTTNNAATCTTAAACCCTAAACCTTCAACCCTAAACCTTAAACCCTAAACCTCAAACCTTCTTGGGGTTTAGGGCAGCAGGGTTCCGAGTTCATTATGTCTGTGCCAGGGTCCGGGCTCACAAAAAGGGGCCTGAATGGTTAGAGTAGGGTTCCTTCTAAAGGGTTCCTTAAAAGGGATACCATAAGGGCTATAAGGTTCTGCAGTATAGGGGCCTTAATAGTTAGGATCGAGTTTCGGGCCCATTATGCTGTAACTATAAGAGGGAACCCCAAAATAGCATTCTGATTCTGATTCGGACTAGGGCGCCCTATTCGGGCGCGCCGTAAGCGACTCAGTTTATATTCTGCAGTGCCACGGTTTAGGGTTTAGGGGTTTAGAGTTTAGGGTTTAGGGGTTTAGAGTTTAGGGTTTAGGGTTTAGGGGTTTAGAGTTTAGGGTTTAGGGTTTAGGGGTTTAGAGTTTAGGGTGTAGGGTATTGGTAAACATTTAGGCCCCTGCAGTACCCTTGAACGAGTTGGTACTTAGCGGCAGGCCTAAGTCTCGCTGAAACTTAGGGGCTTGGTACCCTAGCCCAAAATAGGTTAACCTTTCAATTATGGTAGGATTATAGAAGCCCAAAAAAAGATTAAAGGTTACCTACTCAGCTACTAAGTTAAGGATAGCTGTTGGATTGAAGTTGGCTGTTGGGGATTTCCAGGCTTCAGGGTGAGGGTCACCCACTTCTTGGGCTGGGGTCCGAAAGCCTTCCAGTTTGTTTGGGTTTAGGGGTTTCGGGTTTAGGGGTTTAGGGGCTTAGGGGTTCAGGGTTTAGGGTTTAGGATGTAGGGTTTAGAGGTTTAGGGTTTAGGGGTTTAGGGTTTAAGGCTTAAGGTTTAGGGTTTTACGTCCCCCGGAGCACCCCTACCCCTAAACGCTGAGAGCCACGGAGGACGTCTCGCTTGGCTTACGACGCCTATGCCAACTACACCAGAAGCGGAGCCCTACTGAGCAAGTAGACAAGAAGGAGGAGAGACAACGAGAGACAGCTAGAGAGACAAACAGCTGCTGAACCCTAAAATCCAAAACCCGTCACCCCAAAACTTAAAGCCCCAAACCACAAAACCCAAAGCCCTGACCTCCTCAACACCTACAGGCCTTACTCCTAAATTAGTAGCCCGTAGCTGCCCAGAAAGCAACTAAACCCTAAACCCTAAACCCCTAAACCCGAAGCAACTAAACCGCAGCTTGCAGAGAGCCTTCGTCTCCGGCATGGCATCGAAGAGGGTGCCCTGACGACCACCGTCCGGCTCCTGGCAACTTCGGGGTTCCTTTAAGGGTTCCTTTTAGGGTTCCTTTAAGGGTTCCTTTAAGGGCTCCTTTTAGGGTTAGGGTTTAGGGTTTATCTCTCTGGTTCTTAGTAAGGAATGGGGATGGTCCCTTAAGGCCCCCTATAGTAGTCCCAATAACCCGTTCCCCCATTCCCTACTAAGAACCAGAGAGCCTGGCAACTTCGGAAGCTTCCGAAGTCGGAACTCTGAAGAGTCTTAAGTTTCAGGATCTTGGTCTGGGGGTCTTTGCCAATGGGTTTAGGGTTTTGGGCTTTGGTTTAGGGTTTAGGGCTTAGGTTTTAGGGTTTAGGGTTTAGGATTTAGGGCTTAGGGCTTAGGTCCGGGGTCTTTGCCAATGAGCCATCTTAGGAAAAAGGCAGGTGGGCACTGCTTGTCATCGAGGCTGGGCAAGACGCGTGGCAGTATTTCATCAGCACAGCAAGCCCAGGCGCAGAGGAGGCTTTCTCCGACAGATTATGCATGTAAGGTTTGAGTGTTAAGTTCTGGATTTAGGCTTGCGGGGTTCGGTTTAGGGTGGGTCTAACTTTGCTTGGGCTTTGGAGTTCAGGGCTTAGGCTTTTGGACTTCCGGATCTGGGTCTTAAGTTTCGGATGTGAGCTTAGGGTCTGGGTCTAAGGGGAGAGGGATGCGGTCAGAGGCGTCGGGGACTGTGGTGAGCACGGCCTTGGAAGACTTTGCAAGGGTTCAGATGGAGGTGGGTAGTTCTCTAAAGAAAGGGTCCCTTCTTAGGTCCCCAATATAGCATAGCACCTTGATAAGAAGACCCCCCAAAAGCACCCTACTTTGCAGAACGACCCAGGTCTGGATGGCAGGGAGCTCTTGAATTTCTGGCGTGGTATCGACTTTCAGTGCTTCAACCCTAAACCCCTAAACCCTAAACCCCTAAACCCCTAACCCCGAAATCCTAAACCCTAAACCCCTAAACCCTAAATTCTGAACCCCTAAACCCTATGAGTTTCAAAAGGCTTTACATGAAGAGCTTTATGCTTGTAACGGGGTTTGGGGTTCAGGGGTTTAGGGGTTTAGGGGTGTAGGGTTTAGGGCTTGGGGGCTCTTCGGATACCTAAGTCCCTCAAGCTCTACCCATAGGCCCCTAAGTAGTTCGTTTTTGGGGACTACCTTATAGGATTCTACATATAAAACCACAAAAATGGCACTACTTACGGGCCTATGGGTGCATCTCACACTGCAGACCAGTCTAGCCTCTTTTTGGTGCAAACTCCCGCGATGCGTCCACCATACTTCAAGGATCAGAGGGCTTTGTGATTTGGGTTTAGGGTTTAGGGTTTAGGGCTTAGGGTTCAGGGTTTAGGGTGAGTAGGGGTCGTATATTGTAGCATGGTTTAAAGGAGTACGGCACAGCCCGGCCCCTGTTATAACAGTTGGTGTATCCACATTGCGGCCACGCCTCTACACCGACCTACGCTTCCGACTTCCCAAAACAATGCAAGAAAGCACCAAGATGAGAAACCTATCGCCCCCCCCTTCACCAAAAAACATCACGAACACAAGCACAGGAAGACATTTCCAGACCTACAACAGGCAAGCCCCAAATCCCCAAAAAAGCAACTGGGAAAGCATCGGGCTTAACTGGAGGCGTCCTTAAAGAGCCAGAACATTTCGCCCTCGGGTTAAAGTGGCCAAGCCTGCAAGCTGCCCCGGAAGCCAGGGCCCTACAAAACCAACCTAAGCGCGAAACCGCAGGTACACTAACCCCTAAGCCCGAAACCTAAGCTAGAAAACTAAACCCGAAGCCCCTTCATAGAACCCCCCTAACTCTTAAGCTCGTAAGCAACCCACACGGGTCGAAACCCTGAATAAGCTCTAAGGGGTCTGAAGAATTATCGAACAAGTCTTTAGGCTATGCTAACGAAAATATATACTGCTTACTCCGACCGCCCCTCAGTCAATCTCCTCCAACGCTTCGTCCTTGGGTGCGGGCTCCTCTTCCTCACACCCACAAATTTCGGTCTTGTAAGCGCTGTTTAAAAAGTTTGGGGGTCTAGAGGTTAACTTTCTGTTTTGAGTTGCTGTGTTTCGGGCTTAGAGGACCCCGCGGTTGCTGGTTTGTTGCATTTGACTGTTTCGGTGCGGGGGTTGGGGTTAAACAAGACGCCCAGGACCTAAAGCTAGACCCCTAAACCCCTAAGCCCCTAAACCCCTGAACCCAAGCCCTAAACCCTAAACGATGATAAGGCCTAAACCCTAGACCCCTGAATCCCGACATAAACCCCTGAAAATTCAGGGGATACCCCTAAGCCCTAAACCGCAAGCCCTATAGGAGCTCACGACTTTCGGGGTCCAGGGGACACTACGAACCTACGAAGCTACGATCCAAAAACCTACAAAGCTACTATCCTAAAGCTACAAAACTACTTGCTATCAAGAACCTACAAAACTACTATATCCTAAACCTACAAAAATACAAGTACCATCCTAAACCTACAACACTCAACACTACTATCCTAAACCTAAAAAAATAACTATCCTAAAACTGCTAAACCTCATCGAGGAATGGATTGAGGCGCCGTTTTTGCGGGTTCAACTTCGCCCTCCCCGGCTCCTCCAATGGGATAGACGCCTTGGTCGGCTCCGGGGCGGAATCCTCATCACCAGACAGTGAGGTCGGGTGTAGGCTGGTTTAGGGCTTCGGGTTTAGGGGCTCGTGTTGTGTTTAGGCTTTATGCTTTAGGGTTCTGGGGTAGAGAGTATAGATTCAGAGAGTTGGGGGCTTAAGTCTGATGTTGGAGGGGACTGCAGCGCTCGAAAGCTGAGGCTAAAGAGGAGGGAGCTGCGCCTCTTGGATTCGTGGACGAAGTTCAGTGGGGCGTCTGTTTGAGCAGGACTCGCAGCTGCCTTGTCTCAGGCAGTTGCGAGTGCCTTCTCGCTCATGGGAATAGATGCGGATGCTGAAGGATTCTTAGCATCTTACCCGTAGGCCCCTAAGTGGTTCCTTTTTGGGACTACCTTATAGGATTCTAAATATAAACCACAAAAAAAGGAACTACTTAGGGGCCTATGGGTAGTTAGGGGCTTTCAAGGTCCAGGGTTTAGGGGTTAGGGACCTGCCTTTTGGTCCTCCTCCTTCGGTTCATCGACCGGTGCAGCTTCCTTCTCCACTGACATGGGAGTAGCCTCGATACACACTGTTTAGGGTTTAGGGTTTAGGTTGTGCTTTGTCGGGGGGAGCGTGGAGGGCATCGCCGCGACACCTTGTGTGTTGGGTTCACTAGGGCAATGAAGCTTGTTGTTGCTGCTGGCATCAAAACGTAATTCGGATGGCATTCACAAAAACTTTCTCTACTAGTTAGGAAGAACCGAATGCCACAAGAAACACCCAAAATCCAACCATTCCCCTGGGCCTCCTCCGGCAAGGTTGCCGGCGCCTGGACCTCTTCCTGCATTGCCCAAGCATCTCTGAAGCTAAACCCTAAACCCTAAACCCAAGCACAAGCCATTTTCATGAGTTGAGTAATCTGCGTTGCAAGTGTGTTCTAGACAGGAGCCGGACCTGTTACGGGGCTTCTGGATGGTAGCGGCTCGTCCAACGTCTGCACTATATCAGCCGTAACCACCCGGCAAACACAAAAAAAAACACGACTCCCTCTGCTGCCACCAGAGAACTTCACATTCGATGGTCAGGAAGCTAGAAGGTTTGTAAACACCTTACGCCTTCTGTGACTTAGTTTAAGGCTTCTTTGTGGGGCGTTCGGGGGAACATTTTGATATGAATACTCCGACCCGGATGTCATGTGCCGGCGCTGCAAAGACCCCAAGGGGCCTAAGAAGTCCAAGCATCCTGGGCCAACTGTCTTGCCCGCTTAGTTTAGGGTTTAGGGTTTAGGGGTTTAGGGTTTAGGGTTTTTTTTAATGTGCAATTAGGGTTTAGGGTTTAGGGTCATTGGCCTTCCAAGCATGCGGTTTGGGAGCACTCCAGACGGCAGCAAGTAACATGGTAGACTGAACCAAAGACTTGCGATCATCATTAGTTCATTATTTGCGGATAGCGACCATACCAATAATAGCAGAAAACGACCTGAGCAATGCCATCATTACCAACACTGGTCGTCGGCGCCGTCACCGCCCACACCGTCACAGTCGTCATCGACATCATTGAACCCTATAAACCCTAAACCCTAAACCCTATAAGCCCTAAACCTTAAGCCTATAAACCCTAAACCCTAAACCCTATAAGCCCTAAACCTTAAGCCTATGAACCCTAAACCCTGAACCCTATGTCCGTCGTCATCTAAAGCGTCTTTCTGCTGCTCGTGTCGTCAGCATCAGGAGACCTCCGAGGGAGACCTCTAGGGTTTAGGGAGTTCTGGGGTTTAGGGGTTTAGTTAGGGTTCAGTTCAGGGGTTCAGGGGCTTTGGATTTTGGGTTTAGGGGTTTTGGGTTTTGGGTTTACGGGTTTAGGGGTTTAGGGGTTTAGGGAGTTTAGGGAGTTTAGGGAGTTTAGGGTTTAGGGTTCTCAGTCGAAGCTCAATCCCCTCTGTCACACGACCCCGAAAGGGCCTGCATAGCGAGTGCGAGCAAGACTTTCGAGATGCTCCGGGCACCGAACACAAAGCTGAACCCAAGGCGTAGCGTTTAGGGTTTAGGGTTTAGGTTTATGTGCATATGACTGCTTCAACACGTACCTTGTAAATACCTTGTAAGTGCTTTATAAGAATCTTACGCGCAGGTTGTTCGTTTTCATGAGGGCTTGTCTGAGTCTAGGTTTTGCGGAGTGAAGGAGCTAGCCCCCCGGCGCGCGGGCACACCTTGCCATCAAGCTCGGCCGTGGGGACCTCGGCCACTTTCTCCTCTTCCACCTCCTCCTTGGAACTCTTGCCAGACAAGGCCCAAGCCCTTTGGCGCAGCATCGGGTTTACCTTAAACTCCATAACCGCTTTTTTGGTGTAGAGCCCTTAGAAATGGCAGAGATGTGCATGGTAGTGCACTACAGAAACCGGGTCGGTACGCGGATGGTGGCGTAAAGGGCAAAAAGCTTTCGTTGGCTTTAGGGCAAGGAGCCATCCTCACACAGCTACGCTCGGAGCTCTGGTGCTTCGTTCAGGGATGTCGGCTCTGTTCTCTACATGGGGGCTGTGGGGTTGAAGGTTCCGCTGTTGGGGCTTTTGGGGTTCCGGCCTCACAGGCTATTGGGTCTTCTGCAGCTTGGGCGTTGGGCTTCGGATGAGGATTTAGTATAGGGCACTCACATCCCAGAGTCGTTAAAAGCCTTATAAACCACAGGAGCCGCAAACCCTGAGACCCCCCGAAACCGCAAGCCCGGCTATCCTGAAGCCCTGAAAGCTTGTGTCAAGTCTGAGCCCTAATATAGGGGCCTTCATAATTAGAATAAGGGATTATAGTATAATATACCTCTAAACCCTAAACCCTAAACCCAAACCCTATTCTTATTATTAAGGCCCCTCTATTGTGTAAAGGCTAGCGACCTGCTCCTCGTCGGCCTCGTTCTCATCCTCCTTCGTTGCCTCTGGAGAGCGAGGGAAAGGACTACAACAATGAAGGAAGGGTTCTATACCCATAGGCTCCAAAGTAGTTCCTTTTTTTGGGATTCCCTTATAGGATCCTAAATACCAACCGCAAAAAGGAACTGCTCAGGAGCCTTTGGGTAAGGGCTCCATATCGGGGGTCGACTACGTTGGTTCCGGTGGTTTAGACTCGAATTTGGGCTACCGTACCATGAGGGAACCATAGGGAACCATATCAGGCTGCTGTTTTTTTCAACTCCCTCAGCCCAAAGGCCTCTAAAGCCCTATAAGCCCTAAACTCTAAAACCCTAAAGCCCTAAAACCCAAAGACCCAAAGCCCTAAAGCCCTAAACCTCTAAGCCCTAAACCCTATAGTTTGAAGCGAGGCGCGAGGTCGGCAGGAGACCACAGGGATTCGTCTACCTAGTTCGTACAGGAGGAAACTTTGAACTCGCAGTCTGTAGAAGCTTTAAGGATTGCAAGGCTGGAGGTGCAGGATTATTTATAATATAAATATATCGTAACGGGTGGCACCGCGGTTAGACATTAGATGGAGTTCAGGTTTTAGGGTTTTGACTTCGGAGGTCTATATGCAGTTTTGGCCACCGGGACAGGAGCCAGCTCGAAGTCTTCCACCGTAGGCACCGTCGGCACGTATCCGATATCCTGGCTAGCTAGTACTCGAGAACCCAAAACAATAGACATGTCATGTAGCTCATCATCATGACAAGCCACTTCACTCATGCACTTGTGGAAGTGCATGATCCGTCGGCAGAATCTCGCAGGATAGCTTTCGGTGCCGCTGAGTCGCGGTCCCCCTGTCCTGGGATAGTTCGCCATTCAAGCAATTGCAAGCTAGTGCTACCACAAGATTACCTAGAGCTGAGTGGCACAGCTGTCGTTCCATCCTGTCGCCTCTTTCGCGTCACAACACCCATGGAACAGAAGCCACCCTGCTTCCTCTTCACAGGATCCAGAGTCTGGGCTTCAGCAAGCTGCTGCAGCCAGGTCCTTAAATTCGCTGTCAGCTCATGGTTTGCTCCAGGTGGGCTAGACCTAAAGCACTAGCGGTGCAAGCAAGTCTCGTATTTCCAAACACCATCGTTCGCTTCATTGATCTTGCACCATAGTGGCCCATCCAGCTGAGTTGGACGACTTTATTAGCTATGATCTGTATAGTTTGGAATGACAGCACATCATGATATGATAATACAGCAGAGGTACAAGCGTACGATATGTGCAGGCGGGAACCCCAGGCCGAAGATATTAATCTGCATGAGGAAGCGAACGGCACCGATGTATGGTAGAAGGGAGCTTCCGGGTTGTTCACAGGCCCATTGGCATCGCCGCACAAGGGCGATTACAGCCCCAAGCACCCAACGAACCGCCAAAAGGTTTCCGTTCTTTGTGCTTGGCTTCGAGGGGTCACCCATAGGAAAAGCCTTAGAGCGGTGTGTGGACGCCCGTGAAACCCAAACGAAGCTGCTGCAGGGAACGCCCGAGAACATGAGCGCTCCCTCCTTCATACGTAGTATATACTGAAGGTAGAAGAAAAATCCTTGCCTCGGATGTACATAGGAAGCACGAGCCAGGGATTAGGATTGGGCTTTAGGGTTTGGGCTTTAGGGTATTTAGTATTGGAGGTTATATTATATGACTTTATATTGAATGGTTAGGGTTTTGGGGGTAAAGCAGAGCTGCGGTGTAGCAAGGTCATGCGACCGATTCTTCTTCTTCTCGTAGTAAGCAGGTCTCAGTCCTTGCTTGCCTCGGAAAATTCCCTAGGTATAAGACTACCTAGCAGTACTCACAATCGAGCAATGTACACGTAAATGTATAAGGGCACCACGAGCTCCCCAGAACACACCACACCAGCCGGCAAACATATCCAATACATCGATATCCTGAGTACAAAACCGGAGCACTAGGACTCGAGAGCTGCAACTCGAACACGATTGCAATCTGCCAAGGTTCTCTGCCCAGTGAGCGGTGCGATGTCACCGCGACATAGTCCAGGGCATGCAACCTGGGATGCAGGCTCCGTGTAAAAACCTCACTATGCTAGGACACCGAGTGCTGTCTAGTAACACTACACACGGAATGTGCAGGTGGCAGAGCAGCTTGAACTGGATCTCTGTTAAAGCTAGAGGCCGTCCCATGGCTTTGCCCTGGCTATATATAGCTAAGCTTGCAGCTCCTGGCACATGAACCGCTTCAAACTGCAAGCATGTGCAACAACGTGGCAACTGTTCGCTCGTGACATGAAATAAAGATGCATCCTGCAATCGCATGCTGGTCGCTGGCACACTCACAGCTGACGAAGAAGCGGCCGTGTTAAGCTAAAGGGCTTTAAGGTTTAGGATATTTAAGGTTTTAGGGTTAAGAAGCTTAAGGTTCAGGGAGTGGGTGTTATGTGTGTGTGTGCATTTATATGCATGATGTATGACTTTTGTAAATGTGTGGCTAGTCTGCTAGCTCAGCTCTGTATTATATATATGTATATATATATATGTGTGTGTGTATGTGTATGTATATAAATGTATGTACATATATATATATAACAATAATTTATATGTAATTATTGTAAGGGCTATGGGGCCAATGCACACACATGTGTGTATATGCACATGTATATATACATATAGACATATATATGCTTGTACATGTACACAACCGATTTGGACTAAATTTTGTGCACGAAGCGGCGCCTTCAAACTCAGTAAGGCCGACAAAGGCGATGCCTCGACCATCATTCGGATTTGCAGCGTGCCCCCTCTCATATCACAACCAAGTGCACATGCTGACTTCAGTATATATATATATATATAGAACGAAGCTACATAAACATGTACGATGATAAAGTATATATACACATGCCTACACACCACAACCATAAAACTAAAATATATTTGTGGAAATAGGGGCTCACACCGACATCCAAGCGGCACGTCTGTGCCCATTAAATCAAAATTTGTGTGGCGGATCACAGCTAGGTCGACGCACGACCATTCGACAACTCAGTCAGACGGGTTTTGGCTCGCTCAAACTCAGCGCTGACCGTCTCCATGTCATCGCCCTTGTCCAGGTCTCGACACTTAGCCGATACAGCTGATCACAGCAGACATTAAAGCACAAAGTGTATACGTAGATCGTACATACAAACCCGAATACTGCAGATCAGTAACCGCTTTGATGCACGGAGCAAGAAGCTCCTCCCAGGTGATCTTCTCCCGAACATTGAAAGTGGCAACAGAGAGCACCTTCATTCCAGAACCCTCCAGGAATTCATCCCACACCGTACTGCTATTGCACTTGCCTGACTCCGGCTTTGATCCTCAAGGGGCTGTCGAACAACTCCGGCTTCGCCTCTGCTCCAGTACGGCATCACCTGGGCTGGTTGCAGGATTCCGGGGTTGTATATATATATATATAATATATAAAATATAATTTAGTTGAGATGCACGGTAGCGGGCCAGCTTCGGCAGGGTCTTGCTAAGCTTCGCTCGCTCCTCTAGAGAGATAGTCAGCCATGGCCCCAAGCCTGCCAATCAATTATATATATATGCATACGTACATGCACAGGTTCAAAAAAATGTACCCTGCCTCTAGATTTTTTCCCAGCTGAGCCCTCCGTCTTGCGCTTCTTGCCGGGCGGCTCCTCACTCCCTGCCGGGGCCCGCGGGGTCCCAGCTCCTCGGCCACGCGATCCACGGCCACCACGGCCACCACGGCCGCGTCCGCGACCACGCCCATCTCCGGATGGTGCAGCCGCCTTCTTATAAGGTCGATTCGCAAGTCGCCTTATTTTCTCGGCACATGCATGAAATGTTTTACTTAATCGGGCATTGACATCACACATATCTAGATCCGAAAATCATATCAAGGTGCAGTTTGGACTGCGTAGCCGGCAGTTCGTGTTCATCACATCTCATCAACAATAGCTCTCGTGACGTGCTATCCCAAGAAGGTGGATGCTCAATGAGCGGCTTGTGATCCTGCTGTCGCATGTACAATATACACATATATTGCATACATGCATGCATGCATGCATGCATGTCTTCGAATTCTAGTGTCGACACACCCTGTCCTTGTCACTCGTTCGGGCTGCAGGCTTCTTCTGCACCGTCGGGGCCTCCTCGGGGAAGAGACGATTTAAAGACACAGGGCAGTGAGAGAGAGAGAGAGAGAGAGAGAGAGAGAGACCGAGAGCTCTCTCGACAGAGAGCGAGAGTCGACCGAGAGCGAATCAACAAATAAACCCTGAGATCGAATGACTACACGAAAATCTACTCCTCGTCGATCTCTTCATCCTCCTCCGCACTTGCTGCAGGGGTCTCCGGATCCTGTTGCAATTGGCCATGGGTAGATCTGTGGAGTGCGAACACAATACCCGAATCTATATATTCCCCTCGCCTCCTCCTGGACCTGGCCACTGTCATCCATGCCCTCGTCCTGCTGGGCACCCTCATCCCCTTCCTCCTGCTGGGCACTCTCATCCCCTTCCTCCTGCTGGGCACTCTCATCCTCTTCCTCCTGCTGGGCACTCTCATCCCCTTCCTCCTGCTGGGCAGTCTCATGCCCATCCTCCTCTCCAGCATTCTCAGCCCCTTCCTCGTCCTGCTGCCCAGACTCCCCCTCGGGGCCAGTCGAGCCACTCGCCTCGCCCCCTTCCGGCGGAATATCCCCGCCCTCTGCAATCAAAGTCAAGCGAATGATGTCTTGCAACTCCTGGATCTTGGGCCGCCTCAGCTAGCTATATTACATAGTATGCAGTATACGACATGTACATGTACAGCTCTAGTGCAAGCCAAGCACTTTGATCTCCTCGGCGTTTTTCGAAACAGCCGAATTATGTAACACAAGCGAGCTCGGACCGTGTTGGCGTTGCTCATGGCCCATGCCTGCAATCTGATCATGATTGATGTATATATATTCAGTAGGATGTATATATACATGAACGATACATGCAGACACACACACACACGCGCACATACGAAACAATAACGCGAAGCAACCTCGATCTCCTTCTTCTTCGCCGCGGCGCCGAAGATCCCGTGCTCGTAGTTGCACCAAAGAAACGCAGCCTGGGATCGGAGAATAAATTCGGCTGTACATATATATATATATCATGACATTGTACATGATCATCTTGCTGCACGGACGAAATCATACATCAGGGCGAGGAACTTTGAATTTCGATGTGACGGGTGGCTTCAAACCGAATTGAGCACATAGGGGAGCTAGTACCTCGAAGGCCTTTTCGATGGCGTCGTCGCACATGAAAGAGAACTCTTCCAAGCAATCATGATCCTTAAGTTGCAGGCTCCACGATATTACTCGGGCCTTTATATGCAAGCACACCATGCATGACACACGACATACACTCAAATTGCCCACACACGTGGGGCGTATGCAAGCTGCTTCGGAAGCCCGCATCGTGGCCGCCAGAGACACAGTCGATCCCTCCGGTTTGCTCCGAAGCCACTCATCGAAAACATCTTTGAGCAAGATCCTGTAGCCGAGCAATAGAAGCACAGGCAGCTGTAGCAGTAGTGCTAATTAGCGGATAGATTCTTAATTGAGCTGAGAAGCAGCTCTCCATCGTCCTCATCAACATTACTATCCGCTTGCAAGCCACCATCGTCAGGCGGCTGATCAAGACTTTCATCAGCATCAGCCGGGCATGTTTTTTTCTTAGGTGCCATCCGCTACACCTAGAGGGCTCGACTCATACTGTCCAGCCAAAAAGTCTTAATGCAGGCACGAATAGCAGCTACAACCACAATTGCATTTGCATGCGCATGCTATGGAATCATGAGAACTGGCAAGGCTGGGGGGGATCGGAGTCCTCCATCTCGCTGCTGCTGTTGTTTCAGCAGTTTCTTTCGACGGGCAGATAAAGCAGCTCGGAGCATGCCGGAGAAACACCAGAGCGTGCACACATGTACACCATGGGAAATTTCTCATGGATACGCGCTTTGTAAGTTTAGGGGTAAGTTTAGGGGTCTAGGGTTTTAGTGGGGGGGGGGGTGGTTAGGGTTTAGGATTTAGGGTTTAAGGTTCGCACCTGAGGAACCTCACTCATTTGAGGCCCCTTTTGTACTGTACATGTCACGATCCAGGATCCTAGGGCTATGAGCCTTAAAACCCTAAACCCCTAAACCCCTAAAGCCCTAAACCCTAGGGTTTTGGGATGCTTTCACAGTGGTGTTGTGTGGATGTCTTCAGACCTGACCCGCATGGTCTTCAAGATACGTACAACCTCTAAAATTACCTGGAGAGCCAAGATAACGGAGCCCAAACATGGCTCCGAGTCCGCATCTGGGCTACTAGTCCGAAGCCATTGCCAAATTCTCCCTTCTTAATCCCTGATATTCAGCTTAAAGCATGGGTACTGGAACCGGTTCCTTCCTAGGCCGGTTACTGAGCTAATGCCTTCCCAGGGAGGTTACCAGGTCAGTAACCGGTCCAGCAGGTTACCGGGCTCCTAGGGCAATTCGACTGCTCGGCCATGACTTCGCGAAGACGTGACCAACAAAAGCATCCTACAATCCGAGAACCACAACACTAAACCCAGAAAAGGGGAGTCTTTAACCAGCCTATCCCTCTTTAATGACCTGCTCCGGAATCGGATAGATTTGTGTTTTGTGTTTTTCTCTCTGCTAGCGGATAACAATAACTTATTATTATTAAAGCATGCTTTTATTTAGGGGGGGTGCTCAAGGGGGGGTTGGTTTACCAACACAAATAACATTGGGCCGGTTTACGCGTCTTATTTTCAACGGCCTCAGGCTTGGTGGGTTCTGGGGGGAGGCTACTATGAAGGAACACGTCAACCCTAAACCCTAAACCCTAAAGTCCTAAAACCCTATAAAGCCCTAAACACTAAACCCTAAAACCCTAAACCCCTAAACCCCTAAAACCCTAAACCCCAACCCCCAAACCCCTAAACCCTAAACCCCTAACCCCTAAACCCTAAACCCTAAACCGCCCCTTTTCGGGAGGCTCTCCGACTACCATCGGCTCTTAGCCCGAGGGGCCGTGGCC